AAAAACTTACTGACCCCAAACTTTTGAAAGTAGTGTATGTAAATATTGTTTATTAGTATTGTAATATTGTAATTGCAATTAATAATTAATATTGTAATTAAATATGAATCTTCCTTGTGTTCATTTAGTGAAAATAACACATGCCTTGACTATTTTAACTACAGCAGTTTTTACTGTATTTTACTTCTTAAACATGTTAAATTACTAGTCTACAGTTGCATACTGGATATATAAAAATGTGCATTTTAAATAATTTCAGAGCAAATACATAAATCTCAAGATATACAACAAATATTGTCAAAAGGGTGAAAAATATTGCAAAGTCCTATTGAGTGCCAGACTAGCTCTCCTCACTTATAGTGACAGCTAAAGCAGAACGCATTAGGAGGCTTTCATAAGTACAAAAACACACATTTGCACGCACACACACACACACACACACACACACTCCAATCTGTCGTCTGACACATATCAAACACTAGATGATTCTGCTCTGCTAGTCGAGCACTACCTTTCAAACTGTCAAAACGCAGCCAACATGAACACTGTCTCTCTCTCGAATTCACTCCCTTTTCCTTTTCACCTCCTCCTGTCTGGATTACTGTCTAGCTGTCGTACCGTCTCATTTGGAGGGTCAATGTTCCTTATTAGAACTACCAGATTCTCCTGCCCAAAGTGACAAGATGAGGTGGAGAGTCTGAGATGGTGAACGTAACACCCAACCTGATCTGAGCAGATGAAAAAAATATTCAGGGTTACACAACTATTAAAAAAGGTTCAAACATTCACTGATGCTCCAGAAGGAAACAAACGTAACACCCAACCTGATCTGAGCAGATGAGAAAAATATTCTGGGTTACACAACTATTAAAAAAGGTTCAAACATTCAGTGATGCTCCAGAAGGAAACACGATGCATTAAGAGCCAGGGGGTGAAAACTTTTGAACAGGATGAAGAATTGGATATTCCATTTTGGATCCACATTTTTCTAATTTTGTAGAAATATAATTTTTTTCCATTTAGTACTGCCCTTCGGAAGCAACAGAAGATACTTGCATGTTTCCCGGAAGACAAATCAAGTACAATTTACCTTGATCTTCAAATTCAAAAAGTTTTCCATCGTGTTTCCTTCTGG